AGTATTTGATAAGTGTTCCAGTCGCCAAGGATACTTTCCATTTTCTCCGTGTATTGTTTCTTGTCCATTATGAAGAACTATTTGATCATTCCTTTGTAATTTTTTTTTATATCAGCCAACTTGCTCCTGTGTTTCGGTTCTTGATGTATCAGGATTCGTGGGATTACTTCCAGTTCCATCTCCTACCTCGTCTCTTCTGGATATTTATCCGATATGTTGACAACTTCCACTAGAATATCCTTAAGAACTTTTCATTCATAACCTAGTAAAAAATGTCTCCTCTTCTTTAAGAGATCCGTAGTTTCAGAACCAAGAGGGATTGAAGATAGGTTTACTACATTTGTCCTATCGTCGTAGGTAGCAGTTGATGCCTTCAATAAAGAACCATCAAAATTTGCCCGGGTTGGCTTGGTCTTGCTCTGTATTATTATCCCATAGCTAAGCAATTTCCTGTCATGCTGCTTAGTTATCAGATCCCGGACCCTCTGTGACTTCTAGTCGGTTAAGCTCTGGAGTTTTTAAAAATCATCCAAAGTAAGAACCCCACCTAGATCCTTCCTTAATCTAGACTTGAGATATATGAACTTAAATAGCTTACGTCTCTCAGTCTCGTAACTTTCCTCTAATTTCTGAATGAAAGGCTGATAAAGTATTTCATTAACTGTGTCCGAATGACACTTCCTCATTAGATTGCAGAAACGGGGAACGATACGATAATGTTTGCAACAATTCAAAAAGGCCAAGTGGCAGGATTGACTTACAATTGCCTTCTTTGTCCGGCTGTAATTAGTGCATTGTTTGGCAATCTTACTTCCATAGTTTATTTGAAGGTATGAAGTTTAATACATTAATACATGTGCCTACACATAGACAACTTTCGTAACTACTGCTACGGATGTCGAAAAGTGTAGGGTAGTTATAGAATCCCGGCACAAATATTGTTCTTTTGTGGAAATCCCTAAACTTATGAAATATCTTTATCTTTAGACTATTATTGAATCTGCGTGGGAATCTTGTCACTTCATAAAGAGATCATTCATTTCAATCCACGTCGGTGGCAAATAGTCAAACGTAGATGGCATGAAAAGATTATATCTGATATTTGAAACATCAAAAATGGAGCATAGAGCTGTCTATTTATAGGTTAGAATAGACAGAGTGAACAGGTGGGATAACACAATTTTAAATAAACACTTAGTTAACTGTGGATTTTACATAAATTTTCCCTGAACAGAATCCTAGACCTATGGCTGACATTAGAACTTATATTATTGTTTTATTGATTTTTAAAATGGTGACAAAATTTAAAACGCATTCTTATTTTTTACAAAAATTGTTATCTTCACTCGGGCGAGATAATTAAATTTTTACTCCGGTTATTCAAGTATGATCAATGTCGAAGCACAAGTCATAAACAATGCTAGTTATTTCCACATACAAATTACAGTTGTAACTGAGACTAGTTTTATGATCATACTTCGAAATGTGTCACCAAGGTCTATCATATGCACTAGCAGCGAATAAGAGTAGCCGTAGCCCGTAATTTGGTCTGTGTTGGTGATGCAAAATCAAAGCCTATTCTTCGGTTTCCGATACAATATATTAATAAGACCGAGGAACTGGTTTTATGAAGGAAATAGTCACATCAGACATGGAGATATATGTAAACAGATGATTCAATGTTTGCAATTGATGATTAAATGCATTTGGATCATTCATTTCGTTCTAAGCTTTTAGTGAAAAGGATTCATAACATGGACTCATGAGAAATAGAAAAATGGCTGCCCTGTAGTTGTGACTTATGACTGATGTGAAAGTCTAATGATTTGAGCAATATCTTTTTTAAAACGTTGAGGTATCAAACACAAGAGACAGCCCTTCACGCCTCGACAATATTAACGGCTTTTGTGCAACTTTACAAAGTACTAAGTATCAAACTTCTTCTTAAGCAGGAGAAATATCAGTTTTAATAGAGAAACTAATCGGGGTGATGCACCAAATCATCACCTCCTCAATACAGGGTTGTAAACGATGATGAAAAAATGGAAGAGATCATAAACGATTAGACTTTTATAAAAGTCTCAATATAGAGACTTGCACTCTGCCAATTTCTTGAATTATAAGATTCGGTAGCATTGGATTATAGGGACTGTTGAGTCACTATGGTTGGATTTTGTTTATTCATGAACTACAAAATTGTTTGCCTAAAAGAGTTAGAATGTCGAATTATTTTAATTCCCAATTGTTGTCATTTTTTCCAAACTTCAAAAAATTTGAAAATTTTCCACGATGGCAGGATTTTTTCTGATTTAATGGTAATACCATACAGGCTTAATAAGCTAATCTTTCTTTCCTATAGTTTTCCAGAGAAGAATTTGATGCTATCACTCTACCTATGGGTACTCAATTGGAGAGCGAGGATGAAGAAGAAGATGAAGACGAGATCGAGGAGGGTAAATCGAAAGAAGGAAGTGTAAATGAATATATTGAAGAGGTTGTAGAGGAGGGAGAAGACGAAGACGGAGACGAGAGGAGGGAAGAAGGAGGCGAACAAATTGCAGAAGAGGAAGGAAAAGAGGTCTATGGGGATGCCAAGGATGTTGAGGTTCACGGCAGCCAATCGCACTTGCCCTTCAACGGACGAGCATGCACTCCTCGTTGGGGTTCTATCGACAAGGCATTTAATGGTCTTCAACTTGATGTCTCGTTCAGCGAAAAAGAGGGTAATCTCACACCTCCTCTTGAGGTGGACGAAATCAGCCAACTTGATGACGAATACGAGGATGAAACGAACCTTCAAGAAAGTTGTAGTAGCAGAATAAGTACAGAAGGGGCTGAGGACTCGCTTAAGCTGAACGAAGAGAAGGAAGAAGAAGACAAGCCGAAAAAGATAATCAAACTGAGTGAAATCCGCAGCTATTGGCAGAGGCAGGAAGATTTAAGCTTTTCAAGTGCAGCTGAACGAGTTACATCTTCGTCCAGGCCAAGTCTGCTGTCAACGACTGTCCTTGATCCATCGGGGCGGCTCCAGGCAAACCGGTTGTATCACAGTCTGGAAGATTCTCATGACCAGCCTGACGAGTCTCACAACAAGAGGGGACAAGCCGAAGTAACCATGAGCCCAGTGGCAAAAAAAGAGTTTGAAGAAGAAAGAGGGGCGCTGATCCAACAGAGACTTCGATGGGGAAGGGAGCACAAACCATTCCACCATCAACGGGGATCCCTAAGACTTAGCGACCTCCCTAACCAAATCCGAAAAGCCAGTCTACCCTTGACCCTGTCCGGTCTAGACGAATCTCAGGTAATATTAAAAGCCCAAACTCCGCGTTTAATTGTGGACCGTTCAGTCGAGTACGAAGCCTTAGAAGTTGATGGGAAAAAAGTCGTCGAGTTGGGGAACGCAGAAAGTGGAGAAGAGGCTGGTGAGCAGGTAGAGGAAGAGAACTGGCAATTCTTAGACACCCTTCCTGATTGCAAAATTGGCTTTTCATCCATCGAATTATCAGATCTACGAGCTTCTTGTCCCTCATTGTCTCCGCAAATGGCGCGAACTCAGAGAGCTGAGCTAACTCAGCCCTCAGGAGGGGAGGTCATCGCCGAAATGTAAGTAAATGCCAGACGTACCTTCATAAATCACTTACTTCCCAATTCAGGCGACATTTTAATTCCCTTTCAGACTGGATTGTAGCCAAATCTTAATTCAAATTAATCCCTTCTCGTAAAGCATGTATCATGCAGAAACACCATTACAACAAACACAAATAATGCAGTATTCGAGCATCAGGAAAATAGTAATGCAGACTAGTTAGGCCTAACTTATTTATTATAGAAGTTATTTGACCTTGTTTTCGCAACTTGGTCATATTGGTTGGAAGACTTAGAGGAACGCACCTTGTCCGGAGTCCATTGTATGCATAATTATTTCCAAAGTCGGACCGTGGACGTGGTACGTTACCAGATGTTTCACCGGCATCAACGATGAGTTTTTCCATTCATAGTACCATATTACAACTCGTCAAAGTGAAGCCGATCCTTTGACCAAACGTGTGCTAAACAATTATGTACCTCCCCTTCTTCGCTGGCCTATTCACATTTTCCATATCCTCTAACCACGCCTTCACTGTCACAATTTTTTCCTTGCTTAATTAAATGTGGTGCGGTGTGCCCTTTTGTGCGGCTTTCATGAGAACCCTCCGCACTCCATGCTGGCCTTCTTACCCCCATTTATCCTTGTGCTGGGAATGTGGATCGGAGTCTGCCATATTGTTATGCAGTTCTCCTTCCGTAGGTCTTACCAAAGTCTCTCTCTTGCCCAGTAGAATCCATCTGCGATCTCTCTGGTTCAAGTATTTCTTTATATCTGCTACTCGAAGTGTTATTACCCCTCCTCTGCGGCTGGGTGACTAATTCGAGGCTAAAGCCTCTGAGTAAATGTCATGTTCAGGCCTTTGCCACACGGACCACGTCTCTTATAAAAATTAATGTCAGCCCACTGGCTCCCATCGCCGCCGCGTCTATCCTGTTTCTATCTCTAATGCCAAGTCTATGACTTGACATGCCCAAGTCTCTTGTGCGCCAACCCACAAATGTTGTGGTTCAGAATTGAACCTAACCAAAGCAAGCAGTACCACAACATTTGTGGGTTGGCACACAAGAGACTAGGGCATAGCAAGTCATAGACTTGGTATTAAAGATAAAAACCGGATAGACGCGGTGGCGATGGGAGCTAGTGGGCTGACAGTAGGTTTTATTAGAGACGTAGTCCATGTGGCAAGTGTATGCCTCAGAGGCTTTAGCCTCGAATTAGTCATCCATCCGCAGAGGAGGGGTAATAACACCTTGAGTAGCAGAGAGAGAGAAATACTTGAACCAGAGAGATCACAGATGGATTCTACGCGGCAAGAGAGAGACTGTGGTAAGACCTAGGGAAGGATGACTGCGTTTCAATATGGCAGACTCTGATCAACATTCCCAGCACAAGGATGAAGAGGGGTGAGAAGGTCAGCGC